AATTTCATTTATTCCTTCTACTTGTTTGGAAATTATGCACTCTATTTTTTTAGTTGTTACTCTTAAAAACATAATATGTATACTTAATGTAAAGTCTACAATTATTTCTATTCTCTTCAGAAACAAAATGTATCACTCTAATCCCATTCTCCCTGGTTTATATCTAGCATTTTCTATTGTGTCCAATTTGGGATCTATCATACTATTTTTTAAATTTATAAGTTAAGACATTATTATTGCTATATGCATACTGCATACATAGATTTGCCTCTGTATTTCCCATTCTTTTCGCTGACCTTTCCATCCCACCTTTAAATCTCATGTGCATATAATTGGATTAATCATAATTTGGACTCATGATATGCTGTCATCATTAATCACCATGATCTTCATTTTAAAATTCTCTCTTTTGCTTAAGGAACAACTATGAATATATTGCTGAACCCACAAACACTAACTATAACATGTCTATGTACAAGTTTTTCTTGCATCTCAAAACAATTTATGTTTTTCTCAAAGTACATCCTTCAGAAGTTCCTCTGGTCTGCTGGTGGTAAATGCTTTTACTTTTTGTTAGGTGATAAAAGTCTTTATGTCACCCTTTGTCTTGAGCGATAATTTTGTTGGATAGAGAATTCTAGGTTGATAGATTTTTCTCAGGATTTTGAAAATATTTTATTATCCTTGGATTCCACTTTTCAGTTGATGAAAAAGTTTGGATTCCATTTTTTGGTTGATGGTTGTTAGTCAAATTATTGTTCTGTTTAGTGGCTGTTTCTTTCTGACTGCCTTTAAGAGTTTCTTTGTCTGTGGTACCCTGCAGCTACATTATAATATGTCCAGGTGTGAATTTGCTTTTTTTGTTCCTGCTTGGTTTATGTTGTGATTCTCGTATCTATAGATGTATATCTTTCATCATGTCTGGAAAATTCTCAACCATTATCTCTTCTTCTTCTACTTCATCCTTTGAAAATATATACTAGATGTTTTCCTATTTTATCCTCCCTTTATCTGAACATTTAAAAAAATTTTACCACTCCTTAGTTCTCTGCACTACATTCTGGGTAATTCCTTAATTTCTCTTTTCCAATTCACTGTTTGTTCTATTGTGTCTAAACTGCTTTTTAATTTTCCTTGATTATCATTTTTCTTTCCAGAAGTTCGATTTGGTTCTTTAAAAATCTCCCTAATCAACTATAATTCCTTTAAATATTTTAAACAAGTTATTTCATGTTCTATAACTGGTAATCCTAATATCCAAAGTTTTTTTTCTTTTAATATTTATTCTGACCACTCCTCATGGCACCTTTTAACTCGTTTATTTGGTATATTTTGTTCATGAATTCACATTTAAATGACTTGAGTCTGTGACTACTTGATGGTTTAGGACTGAGAATGTTTATCTCTAAAAAGAATTTGCATTTGCTTCTGCAGGGTATCTAATTGGAGCCACTTTTATTTAACTTGTGGCTCTGGGGATTACCTACGCAGAGGTAGTATAAATTTGAAGCTCCAATTTGTATCAGTAAGCTTATAATATCATTTCTCAGGAAGTCTATTGTTTTATATATCGATGTAATCCAGAGAAGGAGCAGAAACAGGTAACTTCCCACGTTGGCTCTCTTTGCAAACAGATGGATATTTTCTTCAACAACCTCTTTAAGTGACTCCTGAGTAGTCTAAGGGCTACTCTCCCATTCCCTGAATCAGTCAACCATGAATCCCTCAAACTCTGGGTTCCTAAAATAAATTTTTGCTTTTAGAAGCACTCAGTTCTGTCCATCTTTGTTTTTCTCTCTAATTTTTGCTTATTATTCATTTTTGCTAGTCCTTAGGGATGTTTTATACTTCTTTGTGTGCCCAGCAATGCAATTGACATGGTTTGACTCTGTCTCTGCATCCAAATCTCATCTTGAATTGTAATCCCCATAATCTCCACATACTGAGGAAGGGACCTGGTGGGAGGTGATTGGATCACAGGAGTGGTTTCCCCCATGCTGTTCTCATGATAGTGAGTTCTCACAAGATCTGATGGTTTTATTACATATTTGATAGTTCCTCCTACTCTCTCTCTCTCAATCTCACCTGCCACCATATAAGATGTGCCTGCTTCCCCTTCTGTCATGATTGTAAGTTTCTGGAGGCCTCCCTAGCCTTGCAGAACTGTGAGTCAATTAAATGTCTTTTCTTTATAAACTGCTCACTATCATGAAGTTCTTTATAGCAGTGTAAAAATTAACTAATAATTTATATTTATATATATACACACATATAAATTTACAAATTATATAATTATATTTGTATATTTATATATTTATAATTTACCTAGAAGCTGATCGTTTCATGACAGTGTGGGAGGAGATTTTCAAAATACCTAGTCTTTCATCCTGCCTAAGACAGAACCTCCTAGTATGATTTTTTAAAAGATAAACTTTTTACCCCTAATTAGAATATTTTAATGAATGCTCAATGTTCTTAGAATAAAGACTAAAATATATCTTCACAAAGTCTGTGAAGACTTATTGAATATAGTTATAGTTTTACATTTTTATGTGTATCATTTTTTAAATGTCCGGTAGCCTCTAAGATAACTGCCCCCACCCAGCTGAAGAGTCTCACCACCTGATATTTATGCTCAGTGTAGCTCTCACCCATATGCAATAAGGCTGACATATGGAATCTAGGATTTTGTGGAAAAGACAATGTGTAACTTCTGCAGTAAGATCATAAAAGATATCTCACTTCTACCTTGCTCTCTTGGGTCACTCACTCTGGAGAAAGCCAGCTGTCATGCCAAGAGGCACCTAAGCAGCTGTATGAAGAGTTCACATGGTGAATAACCGAAGCCTCTTGCCAGCAGCCATGTGAGTGAGCCATTTTAAAGGCACATCTTTCCTCTGCAGTCAGACCTTCATCTGGCCAACACTGGAATTGTTAGCTTATGAAAATCTTTGAGCCAGAACCACCCAGTGAAACTACTCCTAAATTCCTGACTCACAGACTTGGTGAGATAATAAATGATAACTTGTTTTAAGCTACCAGGTTTTGGGATTAATTTGTTATACAGTAAAAGATAATAATAGATAACTAATATAATGTCCATCTCTTTCCCTACACTGAATACTTCAAGAAGCAGAGACTGTGTCTGTTTTTGCTTACCCTTGCATGCCCTGTGCCTGGCCTATAGTAGAGACTTAAGAAATATTTGTTGAATCAACAAGTAAAGCAATCAGTATAAAAATTGTATGTCCTTAGTCCCTAGCAAAGATGTCATGACAAAAATGCCAAAAGCAATTGTGACTAAAACAAAAGTTGATAAGCTCATTAAAGAGCTTCTGCACAGCAAACAAGCAAACAAAAAAAACACCTATCAACACAGTAAAGAGACAGCCTACAGAATGGACGAAAATATCTGCAAACCATGCATCTGACAAAGGTCTAATATCAAGAATCTACAAGAAACTTGAATTAATAAGGAAAAAACAAATAACTCCATTCAAAAGTGAGCAAAGGACATGAACAGATACTTCTCAAAAGAAGACATACATGTGGCCAACAAACATATGAAAAAAATCAACTTTACTATCTTTAGAGAAATGCAAATTAAAACCATAATGAAATACCATTTCACACCAGTCAGAATGGCTATCATTAAGAGGTCAAAAGATTACAGATGCTGACAAGATTGCAGAGGAAAAGGAACACTTAAATACTGCTGGTGGGAGTGTAAATTAGTTCATCCATTGTGGAAAGCAGTTTGGCGATTTCTCAAAGAACTTAAAACAGAATCATTATTTGACACAGCAATCCCATTTTTAGGTATGTGCTCAAAGGAATAGAAATAATTTTATTTCCAAAACACATTGATGTGTATGTTCATCACAGCACTATTCACAATAGCAAAGACATGGAATCAACCTAGTTGCCCATCAACAGTAAACTGGATAAAGAAAATGTGTACATATATACCATGGAATACTATGCAGCCATAAAAATGAGATCTTGTCCTTTGCAGCAACATGGATGCAGCTGGAGGCTATTATCCTAAGCAAGCTAACACAGGTACAGAAAACCCAATACCTCATGTTCTCATTTATAAGTGGGAGCTAAACATTGATCATACATGGACACAAAGAAGGGAACAACAGACACCAAGGCCTACTAGAAGGTAGAGAGTGGGAGGAGGGTGAGGATTGAAAAACCACTTATCAGGTACTGTGCTTATCACCTGGATGATTAAATAATCTGTACACCAAACTCCCGTGACATGCAATTCACCTACATAACAAACCTGCACATGAACTCCTGAACCTAAAATAAAAGTTAAAAAAAAGAGAGATTGCATGTTCTGTGCCATAGAAATGACCAGAAGAATCCCATGGTGAGAAGCTGCTAGAAAAATTATCTTGACATTATATAATGGCCAATATTTTCCTTAGAAACTGAGAAATTTTAGATTTGGAATACGTTCATGCAGAATCTGCTGTATTTAATGGGTTTTCAAAATATTTGGGCAGTGAAAGATGACAACAGGGATCAGCCTAAGTAGTTCTCATCATTTAAGTTCCTTAAAAGAAAACAAAACATCACAAAATGTTTAAAAATGGGTTTGGTTCTATTTCAAAGAAAGAATTAAAAGGGGAAAGATAAATCCAGAATTTGAGTATGTGGATGTTCCTGGGTATTGGGGTATGTGTTCATTGCAGTGGTGGTGGCAGCATTAGTGGTAATGGTGGCTCTGGGAATGAGGGTAGAATTGCCTCACCCCATCCTTCTGCTTTTATAGCCTTGACCTTTCCAACAAAGAAGGGTTGGAAATTATTCCAAGTGCCTATTTTCCAACAAATAACAGCTCAAGTCCTACTTCTGCTGGAAAGCTTTCTCTGATTCTCAGGGGCCACTCCCTTCTATAACTTCTATTGCACTAATAATCTTTAAGAGATTCATGGAGGTCTTAGTTCATTATATTATGATTTACTTTTTTTTTTTTTTTTTTCCAGAAACAGTGCCTGTCTCTAACTCCCAGGTTGGAGTGAAGTGGTACAATCATAGCTCATTGTAATCTCAAGCTCCTGGTCTCAAGCAATCCTTCTACCTTGGCCTCTCTGAATGCTGGGATTACAGGTGTGAGCCACTGAGCCTGGCCTGGTTTATGCATATATGTAAGTATGCTATTTACTTGACTTCCTTCCATGGAACATACAGCATTCTTAGCAGAAAGATGATTCCCTCAGTTAGAGTTGCTATTCAGAGCAGTGGGAAATTCACACAGTAGGTCTGGGGGAGGAGGAAGTGGAGGTCATCCTCAGAGTCTTTGAGGATTGGTTTCAGTTTCAGGCTCAAGGGTGAAATTAATATTTCACCAGAGAGAAATTCTATGATGAGGCAGAGTCAGAAACAAGCCAGGAAGTGGACTGAAGGCAAGAAGAGACAAAGGGATTCTGGATGTGGGTGCAAAAATGCAGGAACAAGAGTTCAGTCTTATTGGGTATTGACCGTATGGTCCCCAAAGCAGATCGCCCAACTGTAAGTTGCAGACCTACACTGACGTTCTTTCCCTAACTAGACTATACATTCCTCAAGGATTGGCGTTTTTACTCATCTCTTTCTATCCTCAAGGTATTGCATGGGGCTCTAAATATGATAGTTGCCCAGTACATTTATATATGTTTATATGTATTATATAATTTCATATTTATAAATATATAATACTTAAACTTTTAGCTGAGTTTTACAGTATTCATGAAATTTACTGTATTTATATTTGATTTCATATAGCTAGCTGTGTGAGATTAAGCTTCACTAGGTAGACAAAAGGATTGAAGCTTCTTAGTTGTGAGTAACATATATACACTACAAAACTGAGCCATTGTTGGTGACCTCTAATATAAAATTGAAATAACACCTTCACCTGCAACATCATCTGAGCTAACTACATACTGTCATATAGATCACTTGAACCAGCCTTGATAGATGAGTCATTTATAATCAGGAAATAAATTGAATACAAATAGGATTTGCTAAAGAATGTGGTTTTCTCCTGCAATCTTTACTTATTTTTGATATGTGTCTAAATTATTGCCACTCTGAATTCATGAGGTTGAAAGGAATAAGGTTTAATTGCTGTGTGATGAGTTAAAATATTAATTGTGTGTATTGTTCTGTATTTGTTCCTTTTGCCATTTCAAGCAGGTAGCCAGGACCTAGATAATTCCTGTAATTTTAATTCATTTTAAAATTAGAATTTTAATTTTTGGCAAGTCTGAAACCTGAAGCTACTTGAGATAAAAGGATCTTCACATATTTCTTGGAACCTAAATTCATTAAAGAGATCATTCCAAGTGAAGAGATTATTCCAAGTGCCTTTGAGGAACAATTAAGGAAGAGAAGAGTGGATATAGAACTCTGGCAAGAAATGTGTTTGGGGAGCAAGATAGCTGTATGCTTTAGTTTAAATGTCTATAGATGGGGCGAACTTTACTCAGATTGACGCAGTCCCTTCCTGTTTCTGGCATTTGACTTAAGAACTGCTAACAGGCAATAGTAGGAGAAAGGGGGAGGCTTTTCCAGACTGGGAAAAAGGCAGCCTGAGGCCATGAGGTAGGAGAAAGCATCACTGCCGCACAAGGTCTATCTAAGAAGAGCTGAATGTAGAGACTACCCTTCAGTATCGGAGGCCTAGAAGCTGAATTTACTGCTGGTTTCATAAGGGAGAGCTCGGCCGCACAGACAGGCCTCACTGAAACATGTAACCTGCTAATCTGACAATAGGTTATTGGTATGTGTCTTTGGGTTGTGTTGTTTCTAGGGGCAGGAGTGGACTGACCTCAGCCTTAGAAGCAGTTTCACTGGAGTGAGTTTACCACTTACTGGTTGATTTCCAAAGTGGGAGGCTGTTACTGATTGGCTGGCTTTCAGAGGAAAGTGTGTTTCTGCTGAATGGAGTAGCAGTTCTGGTATTTACCTGTTACTGTGGCTATAGAGTTACCAGTTTTTTCTTAGAAGAATGGGACTTTTATTTTTTATTTTGCTTAATTTTCAGGAAGATGGGACCTTGTGTTCGGGTTTGCTCGCTAGACAAAGATTTACACCTGCACATCATCGTTCTGAAATGGGGAACTTCCAGACCATGGGTGACCACTGGGTTTTGGACATGAGAATATGAGGGACAACCATGAGGGCATGGAGGTGACAGGCCTTCCCTGTTCTCCATGCCTCATGGAAACCTCATGGCTTCTGCTGTCATGTAGAAACGAAGGTGCCCGCAGTAATTAATAGTGAATTGCCTCCCAACCTGAGAGATGGGTGCTAAAAGCAAGATTTGAACTGATTTAAAGAATATAAATAAATGCAGTACTTCTTTCAAGCCTGTGTTTGTAGACTGATAAGATCTTCCTCATTTCATGAAGGGGGATAACTATGATACATACTTGTCATTAGAAGATCGAAGAACACGGAAGGAACAGCAAAAATGGGACTGGTGATTTTGTTTAAATTGGATGTGAAGGGTAAGCGGCAGGCGTTTGTAGTGCAAACATTTCTGCCTTGGCCTCTCAAAAGAAACTCACCTTTCCTGAAATGAAGGAGCTGTGCTAAATCATCTCTAGGGTCATTCACAGATCTAATCCACCTGTTATTTTTAATAGGACTATGACAGCAGATTCCAAGTTTCAGAATGTAACTGCATCTTGCTAAGAAGTCAAATCTATTCATTCATTAACACCAGGGAAAAGTAAATAAGCTTAGTTATTTTACCTGTAATTATAATGTTCTACATTTGTAAAATGACTTCATACCACCCATCTCATGTTAAACTCAATAAAGCTCTCAAGCTCTTATAGGGTAAGAGATACTAGAAGTGCCCAAGAATTCTGGAGCTCTTCCCTGGCTTTAGTACTGACACTGGGATGTGTGAAGAGATGGCCCCAGAGCTCCTAGACCCTCATCCCCAGTACTCAAGGACTCACCACCCTATCTGCTTGGGAGTCTTGCAGTCTATCCTATCACACCTTCTATCTTTTTTCATATCAGCCACCACAGAAAGCCCAACACCTCCACGTCTTCTAACATCACCTGGACTCCCATCCTCAGGAGGCTCTGAACCCTCCCTAATTCTTCCACTCCTCCTTCCACCTGCTCCCAAAGCCCCAAACCTCTCACTGCATCTCCTGAAGCTCTGTTGGTCTCCACCTAAGTCCTCGGTGCTCTCAGCCTCCTCTGTGTGTTCTCATCTGCTTGTTCTCACTGGACTCCTAAGGAACCATGTTCCCATAAGGCCTCTCAGATGAGAGCCATTTCCTCTCTCATATCACTCATACCACCGTGTAGAGAGGCAAGGATCATTACTGTTGCTTCTAGGATGTTTCTCACTACTCCCTAATGGCCTAACTTTTAATCTTATGCCATTGCAATTCTGCTACACCATCCCACTCTGAGCCTCAGACATCTTCAGATTCCTGTCACTTCATGAAGATTTTAGCTTGTGGCTCACAATCACTCTCTCCATCACTACCCCTGCATTCATTCTTGATGATTTCAGTATCCACATGGATCACCCTTCCAATATCCTGGGTTCTCAGCTGCGCTTTTAACAAAGATCCTACCTACTTCAGTTAAACACTCCCAGGACCCACAATGGCTCATATCATTACCTATACTGCATACTCCAGTGTCTTGAATCAAAATCTCTGGGTCTCCTACTGTTTCACTCACTCCTACTGGTATCCAGAGCCAATAAGTTTTGGTGACCACACTGAGATCTATGATCCATCGATCCTGTCACCGTTTCACAGTCTTCCTCCTCTTCCCATCATGCCCCTACTTTTTGGATTCTAGAAACCATCATAATTGTTTTCTTATGTGTACCTTCAACTTCCTTGTCCCTCTTTTCTGTCTCCATACTCTCCTGGGAAAACTTGACCTTGGTAAAATACACCTCTCCACATCCTTGCCACCTGCCTCGTGCAGTGAATGTGGCCGGGGGAAAATGAACAACTATGCTGACCAGTGGTGCTGCCCAGCAAATTGAAATTATATTTTTCTTTCCTCTTGCTATTCAACATGTAGTTCATAGTTCCACAGCATCAATATTTGAGAGATTACTAGAAATGTAGGATCTTTATTCCCAACCCAGATCCACTTAATCACAGTCTGCTTTTTAACAAGATCCCCAGGCATTTCCTATGCACATTAAAGTTTGAAATTAATGACCTACAGGATGATTTAAAACCTTTCTGGCTGGGCACAGTGGCTCACTTATAATCCCAGCATTTAGGGAGTCCGAGCTAGGAGGATTACTGGAGCCCAAGAGTTCAAGACCAATCTGGTCAACTTAGCAAGACTTAATCTCTACAAGAAGTGAAAAAAAAAGTTACCCTGGCATGGTGGTGTATGCCTGTAGTTCCAGCTATTTGAGTGGCTGAAGTGGGAGGATTGCTTGAGCCCAGGAGGTGGAGGTTTCAGTGGGCTGAGATCATGACACTTCACTCCAGCCTGAGTAACAAAGTGAAACCCTGTCTCAGAATAAATAAAATAAACAAATAGAACCTTCTTTTTTCTTAAACTTTCAATACTTCCAGACCTTATTCTCAGCTGATGAGTTTACTTCCTGTTTAAATGAGGGGGAAAAAAAAGCAACCATATTTCCATCCTTGCCTACCAGCTGTACAGAATCTGTGCCTGTATCCTCTGTGCTTTCTTCCCCCACTGTGGTGGACTGCCAGTGCTCTTTTCTAAGGCTATTCATTGTACCTGTGCTTGAGCTCTCCTCCCCTCTGCTGTCCCCAGGGAGACTACTTCAACACTCAATCTCTCTCTCTCTCTCTCTCTCTCTCTCTCGTGTCCTCGGTGTTTCTTTCAAGTCTTTCCTATCAGCATCCTACCATTCTATATTTTTTCTCATCTTAAAAATTAAATACACACATTAAAAAATAAAGCACTCATCAGACACTACATTCTCATGAAGCTGCCTGTTTCTCTGCTTACTTTTGTAAAACTCTCCTGAAAGTGTTCTCATTCTCCTATTTCATCCCTCCAGCCAGGCTTTCATCTCACTAGTCCACCAAAACCGCTCCAGTTGTGGGCACCAGTGATCTCTACATTGCTGAATCCGATGGTCAATAAATCCCCTTTTCACTTGACCTCCAACAGTAATTACCTAGTT